CAGCTGGACCGTGGATGCTCCACCTGAGCTCAGAGAACAAGCCCTCGGAGGCCTGCATCGGGGTGGGCTGCGGAGTGCGGGCTTTCGCAGTAGAACAAGGACTTGAGCAACATTTAAACACTCGCCACTGCTTCTTCCCACTGAGTCGTGGGGCGGCCTTAGCGACAGGCAAAGAGCTTCTTCGCACGCGTGTGCATGTGCGTGTGCGTGTATGTATGTGCATGTGTGCGTGCGCATGTTCGTGTGTGTATGTGCATGTATGTATGTGCATGTGTGCGTGTGCATGTTCGTGTGTGTATGTGCATGTATGTATGTGCATGTGTGCGTGTGCATGTGCGTGTGTGCATGTATGAGCGTGCGTGCGCGCGCCGTGCAGTGCTCCCTCGTACGGACGCACAGACTTTGGGAAACTTCCCTGGTGGTGACCGTGGGCTGGGCAGTTCTGTCTCGTTACAGCCTTCGGCCTAAGCCCTTGCCTGACCCTGAGCATGCGTTCCCGGAAGTGCAGCCGCCGCGGTCAGTGGCGTGTTCCTGGGTAACTGGTCGCCGTCTCAGTGGCCCCTGCGGGGGCCGTGCCGACACCTCCCAGCAGCGTGGGGACGACACACGGACGGCGCCGGTTCCCTGCGGACTCCGAGGTCTGACGGTGAGGGGGTTTCGCACGCGGATAACTTTTCATGTGGTCACAGTCCCGATGAAGACCCAGACCCCCACCAGCCCGTGTCACCTCTGGTGGATGACACTGTACTCACAACCACGGCATTGCCCTGGCCAGCGTGGCTCAGGGGATAGAGTGTCGGCCTGCAGACCAAAGGGTCCCGGGTTTGATTCCGGTCAAGGGCATGTACCTCGATTGCAGGCTCCTCCCCGCCCCATGTGTTTCTCTCACATAGATGTTTCTCTCTGTCTCTCCCTCTCTCTTCCACTCTCTAAAAAATCAATGGAAAAATATCCTCAGGTGAGGATAAAAAAAAGAAACCATGGCATTGCTCTGGGGGAAAATGCAGCCGGAGCTCGGACGTGGAGGGCGTGGAGGGTGGGCGTGTGGACCCCGATGGAGCCACGCCTCTGCCCCTGCCAGCCTGACCTTGTGCGAGCCCGGGACCTGGCTGAGCCTCCGCTTTGCTTCCCACCGGGAACCTGGGGGAAGGGCGCCAACACGGGCGTTGGTGGCGCTGGGGCATCGCAGCCGTCCTGCCGTGATGTCACCACGACCTCGATGCAGGAACAGGCGCAGGTGGCGGGCATGTGGAGGCTCGCAGCTGCCGGTGGTGACGCAGACGCGCCTGACGGTCTAATCAGGCTCCCGGGCCCGCCCATCCGGCCTTCACTTGCGGCCCTGAGAGCGTCCTTGGGTCCTGGTGACTCGGCCAGGGAGTGACGTGAGGGTGGTGACGTGGTTCTGAACATCAGGACACGTGGAGTCCAACTAAGTCGCCAGCCTCTTGCTTTGCACACCTCCGGCAGCACTTGGAGACACTTCCTTTAAAATCCTGACCCAGGGTATTTCCCATTGACTCAGAGAGAGAGTGGGAGGGAGGAGGGGGAGAGAGAGAGAAAGAGAGAGAGGAACATCCATGTGGGTTGCCTTCCGCTCACGCCCCAGCCAGGGCTGGGAACCTGCAACCAGGGTGCGTGCTCGTGAATGGGAATCAAACCGGTGACCCTTCAGTCCAGTCAGTGATTCTGCCTCATCATTGATGTTTCTCTCTCTCCCTCTTCCTTTCTCTCCGAAATTAAAAAAAGAAAAGAAAGAAACCCGTGGCTCAGTGTTATCACGTGTGGATGGAGCACAGTGTTGTGTACAAGGTGGCTTGTCGAGTGAAGCAGAGGTAGTGCCTGGTCCTGGCCTCTGAAGGCGCCCGGAGTCCGATTCCAAGAGCTGGCGGCTTACAGCGGGGACTGTACCCACAGGGCCGCCGGGGGCCATCGCAGAGCCTCACGGTGACCTGGGACAGGCACCGGCCACCGTGGGCTCTGTGGTTCTCCGTGGTTCTCCATGGGCCCTATGATTGATTCTCCGTGGGCTCCATGATTTTCTGTGGGCTCCGTGGTTCTCCGTGGGCTCCGTGGTTCTCTGTGGGCTCTGTGGTTCTCCCTGGTCTCCGTGGTTCTCCATGGGCCCTGTGATTGATTCTCTGTGGGCTCCGTGGCTCTCCGTGGGCTCCGTGGTTGGGAATTCACCCCAGTCCAGGGCTGGGGAGCCTTCCTGTCTTCACAGCTGTGAGGCCCACGTCTGGCCGAGGTTGCGTGTGCCTGGCCCACGGTGTCAGCTGTCACACTGGCCGCGTCTTGTTTGCAGTCTTGGCTCTATGTGATTCGAGCTGAGTGCTTTTTGGTGCTGATGCTGCTGTTTCCAATGATCCCGGGCGTAGTGCCCACGCCTGGCTCCCCCGGTGGAGGCCGGGCGTGTCAGGTGGAGAAAGCGCGCTGGGCGGGCTGAGCCCCGGCCGAGTCGGTGTGGGGGCTGTGCAGTCAGCAGCAATACGGTGCCAGTGCATAAACACGTGTGACACAGGTTAGGATTGACTGACGAACACGTATGACCAGGGCTCACAGGTCCCTGCCCCGTGTTTCCCGTGAGAGCAGCGAGTCAGGACTTGTTAATTCCGTGTCCCCGTGACTCCCACAGCGCAGCTGCCTCCGGGGAGACTCACCCCGTCTCACACGGGGGGCTTCAGGAGTTAGAGGGGCTTCGTGATATCATGGGGCCACTAGCAGCGGGAATCCACGTTTCTCTGAGTTTAAGATTTTCGGGACACTTTCTCTTACGCCACAGGTCATGAATTTGCAACGTCATTTTTCTTTATTTTTCAAATATTGACATTTTGTCTTACAAACATCCAGGGCCACCCATCAGTGCCTGAGAAAAGCACTGGCTGTTTCGGCTCAGATTCCAATACAGCAACGCCCACAGTTTGCTTTCACTGCTGCGTGAGTGTTGGAGCAAGGAGGGTGTTGGTGGGAGCTGCCCCCTGGGTTAGGAAGTGATGCGTGAGCGTGCGAGCCTTCCTTCCGCCTCCTCTTCACCTGGGCTTCTAGGAGCCGCTCTGCTGTCCTCCAGGGACGAGTGGATGAGAAAGTGCTGTGGGCATGGAGGGACCATCCCAGGACACGGGAGCAGGTGGAGTCTTCCGTGGCTTCTGGCAACAGGTGTCTCCGTCTGAAATATTTCCAGCAAACGAAGTTCCTGTGCTTTGGAGTCTAGTTGACAAAGTCATGGATTGTGTCTCTTAATTGGGATTTTTTTAAAGGTTGTTTGTTTATTTTTTTAAATATACTTTTATTGATGTCAGAGAGGAAGGGAGAGGGAGAGAGAGATAGAAACATTAATGGTGAGAGAATCATTGATCGGCTGCCTCCTGCACGCCCCCAACTGGGGATGGAGTAGGCTACACAAACATGTGCCCTTGACCGGAATCGAACCTGGGACCCTTCAGTCGCAGGCCGACGCTCTATCCACTGAGTCAAACCGACTAAGGCTTAATTGGGATTTTTCAGGTTCTTAGAAACCAACATTTTAAGCATCTTTGTCCATCTGGCTGCTGGGAAATGCCCAGACTAGGTGTCTGAACCAAAGAGCCCGCCCCCCAGCTGTGGGGGGACCTCTCCCGCTACAGGCTCCTCCCAGGGCCCCGCCTGGGACACGGGCTGAGCCTTTGGAAGGCTCGGATCGCCTCAGGAGGGCTTCACCTCATGACCTCCTCACCTCCACAGGCCCGGCCTCCTCCTGCCATCATCTTGGGGGGCAGGGTCTAGGCAGGTGGATTTGGGGGGGACACAGACGCACCCCGGCAGCTTTGCAGACGTGAAGAGCAAGGTTTCTCCGAGTTTCCCGGGAGTTTTCTGGGAGTTTTCTGGGAGGGCCGGCAGAGGAACCCGCTGTGGGAGCCACCCGTGCGCACAGGCACGTGCGGGCCTGTGCAGGGTGGTCGGCGCGCTCACGGGTCAGTGCTTTCACACTGCAAGCGCGTCCAGCACAGGAGCGCTTGTGCCCAGGGCGCCGGCCGGCTGCGTGCTGGAGGCCCATCCCCAAGTGGTGGTGTTTGTGGGTTGTTTTTTGTTTGTTTGCTTGTTTTGTGAATCCTCATCCGGGGATATTTTTTCCATTGATTTTGAGAGAGAGTGGAAGGGGGAGAGGGAGGAGGACAAGGAGGAAGGAGGAGAGAGACAGACAGACAGACATCAAGTGGTTGCCTCCCGCACGTGCCCAACCAGGGCGGGGGTTGAACCTGCCGCTCAGATACACACCATTAACCGGGAATCAAACCCTTGACCCTGCGGTGCCCAGACCAGCGCTCTAACCACCGAGCGACTGGCCAGGGCCGTGGGTTTTATTTCAGGTCAGTGCAGGTCCCCACATGTGTGGGTGTGTGTGTTTCTATCAGGCGTGCAAGCTTATATGAAGGTTATCATTTATATTGGCACATCAATTAAATATTAAGTCATCATTGAAGAGCCTAGTTTTTATGTTAGTGAAAGAGTGCATTGGAGAATTTCCTGTGGGAGGTGAAGACTCCCTTTCCTCGCCGCCCGGGTCCTGCTCTGAGTGAGTGACCACCACGGTCAGTATACAGCTTGCCGTTAGTGTGCAGATGGACATGTTAAAAGGACCTACGGTGGAGGTTTTCCAGGTGGGAAACGATGGAAGATGCCGCGTGAAGGCTCCGAATGGGTGTAAGTTCAGCCGTGAGACGTGGCCGAGCGAGAGCAGCTCCCTGCTGTCGCCCCTGAGGCGTCGGCTCTTGCTGCGTTCAAGGTCAGAGGGCAGGAGGCTCCCAGAGATGGCCCGTCCTGAGATAAGGGCCCGGATGGAGAAAGGTGAACTCAGGCCACTGGGGAGACTCCTGGGGTGACAGTCCTGTGAGGCTGACTTGACCTCCTGCCCCCAACAGGGTGTGGGTGGGAACCCGGCCTACGAGGTCAGGGGACGGGGTGGGACATCCACCGGGCTCCCCTCCCACCTTGCTTGGGCTCAGGACTCAATAAACACTTCATCGCTGCCTCCAGGGCTCCACGGGAGAAAGAGCCCCGGCCGGTTTTGCTCAGTGGTTAGAGCATCGGCCTGCGGACTGAAGGGTCCCGGGTTTGATTCTGGTCGGGGCACATGCCCAGGTTGTGGGCTTGATCCCCAGTGGGGGGCGTGCAGGAGGCAGCCGACCCATGATTCTCTCTCATCACTGATGTTTCTCTCTCTTTCTCTCTCAAATCAATAAAAATATATATTTTTTTAAAAAAATAGGGGAAAGAAAACCAGAGAGAAAAAGGACTCAGCGGCTGCAGCAGGTGGAGGGACCCCGGGCAGCTGAGGGCGTGCAGGGCCAGCCGCTCCCTGAGGCCTCCACAGGCTCACAGCCCGAGGGCACCTGGC